GGTCAAGGGCCAAGCGCACAGGGTAAGGTTTAGTGGGTCGAGAGTGAAATTCTCCCATCCCCACACCCTGAGTTTCTTCTCAGGTGTCTGTGAGCAGATTCCCCCCTGTATAAAAAAAAAAAAAAAAAGACACCTAACCAAGGTAGAACACTTGACTACAGTTTTCTCTACATGCGAACGGAAGAGGAGCTTTTCTTCGAACAACATCCCGAGATAGGTTACTTCGACAGACCACTCAACCCTTGTGCCATCCATGATTACAGTACAAGATGGAGCCGGTTTCAGTTTGGGCGATTGTCGATGGAGGAACATGATCGCTTGTGTTTTGGAGGGATTGATTTTAATTTTCCACGTGGTGGCATAATCAGCAAAGGCGTTAAGGCATCGTTGAAGTTTGTTCGTTATTTCGCGAGGCATCCTTCCTTTGACGGCTATTGCGGTATCATCTGCGAACAGGAAAAACACGCAACCTTCTGCAAGGGGAGGAATGTCGGAAGTGTAAATGCTGTAAAGCAAGGGGCCCAGCAGACTGCCTTGCGGGACTCCTGCTGGGATGGAAAACGTGTCGGAAAGACAACCATCCAACGATACCTTAAACAACCTTTGCTGGAGGTAGTTACGAGTGATTTTAACCAGATGTAATGGAAAGTCGAAGTTACAAAGCTTGTATACAAGCCCATTGTGCCAGACATTATCAAACGCTTTCTCAACGTCTAACAAGGCCATGGCTGTGGACTTGGATACAGCTTTGTTACTTCGGATGTTATTCATCACCCGTACTAGCTGGTGATTGGTGGAGTGCCCCTTTCTGAACCCAAACTGTTCCGGAAGGAGAATGTTATTTTCCTCGACAAACTTGAGCAAACGATTGAGAATGAGTTTCTCGAACAATTTGCTCAGCGCTGAAAGGAGGCTGATGGGTCTGTAGCTTGAAGCTAGCGTTGGGTCCTTCCCGGGTTTGCGGATTGGTATGATTTTTGCTACTTTCCAGATGCTTGGAAAGTAGTGCAGTTCCAAACATCTGTTGAAGATAGCGGTTAGAAGAGAATGCACTTTCATGCTGAGTCTCTTCAAGATCAAGTTGAATATACCGTCAAACCCGGGAGCCTTCATGTTTTTGGTGCATTTCAGCGCTGAGCAAATCTGTTGTTCTGTAATCATATCTGCCGGAGGCACAACACAAGGGGAGGTATCTAGGTTTTGAACGCATTGCGCAACCTGATCATCGAGCGGACTTTGGATAGTCGAGCCAAGTAAATGCGATGAACCGACATGCTTAACGATCGCATTTGCTTTCTCCTGTGGGGTGATTAAAAGTCGATCGTCATCATTTTTGACTCTGAGAGGTGGAACGGGTTTGGGATGAGTTTTCAGGACCTTGGCTACCTTCCAGAATGGTCTGGAGCGGTCGTCCAGATTCTGGACTACACGCCCAAAACTTTCATTTCGGAGCGAGTCCATTCTGGAAGCAATCTGCCTGTTCAGATCGGCCATTTCACGTTTTTTGCCCAGATCTCCAGTCCTCTGAAACTGGCGTCTACGAACATTTCGGCGCCGCCGGGATGATCTGAGGCATAACATCTCTGATCACGCCTTCCTTCGGAAGGGAAGTAAAGCCGTTGGTCCCCGGTTCATGAGTTGATGGGTCGATAGGTAGGGTCCAGGTATGGGAGCTGCCTTCCTGGCGTCGGTAGCATTGGCGTTCAGCACGGAAAACAAGATCGACGGAAAAACAAATCCAAGGAATAAAAAAAAATCCTTTTTGGACATGGTGTTGTAACTAATCTTATATGTGCTTCATTTTGATTTGGGATAAGTGTTTGAACTATGGCTCGGGATTTCCACTGTGGCGTGCTTCTATTGTGACATACCCATACGTATTTTTGTGATGCGTCATAGTGGAAGCGTGTGAGCATAGTTGGAGCAAATACCGTATATAATTTAAAAATCAGATAAAACGATAGGTGGCTGCCAGGTGGAAGGAGTACTTCGAGACGTTGCTGAACGGAGAGAACGAGATAGCATCTACAAACAGAACACACAGCGACGACGATGGTCAACCTGTGGAACCACCAACGCTAGAAGAGGTGAAAAAGTCGATACGAGAGCTGAAAAACAGTAAGGCTGTGGGGAATGACGAGCTCCCGACCGAACTTCTCAAACACGGAAGTGAGCAGCTGCACCAGATGATCCACCGTATACTGCTCAAGATATGGGAGGAGGAAGAATTGCCCGCTAGTTGGTTGGATGGTCTCGTTTGTCCCCTCTACAAAAAAGGACACAGACTGGAGTGTGCCAATTTTAGAGGAAACACGCTTCTGAATTCGGCGTACAAAATATTATCACGTGCTCTGTTCAACAGATTGAGACCGCTTGAGGAATCCTTCGTCGGCGAATACCAGGCTGGTTTTCGTGAGGGTCGCTCAAAGATGGATCAAATGTTTACCCTGCGTCAAACCCTTGAGAAGTTCCGGAAATACAACTTGCAGACTCATCATTCATAGATTTCAAGGCAGCGTACGATTCAGTAAAGAGAAACGAGCTATGGCAGATAATGCAAGAAAACGGTTTTCCGACGAAACTAATTAGGCTGATTCGTGCAACGCTGGATGGTTCGAAATCATGTGTACGGGTTGCAGACGAGATTTCGGCCTCGTTCGTGACTTTATATGGGTTGAAGCAAGGAGATGCTCTTTCGAACTTGCTATTCAACATCGCCCTCGAAGGAGCGATTAGGAGAGCTGGCGTGCAGAGGAACGGTACCATCATCACAAAGTCGCACATGCTCCTTGGTTTTGCGGACGACATCGACATCATCGGAATCGACCGTAGAGCAGTGGAAGAGGCGTTTGCGCCTTTTAAGAGGGAGACAGCGAGGATTGGTCTCACGATAAATTCTACCAAAACGAAGTACATGGTCGCCTCTAGAAAACGTAGGAGCAATAGTGGTGTTGGTAGTAAAGTGGTGCTAGATGGCGAAAAATTTGAAGTTGTGGACGAATTTGTTTATCTTGGTACTTTAGTGACGTGCGATAATGATGTTACCCGCGAGGTGAAAAGGCGTATTGCAGCCGCGAACAGGGCTTTCTACGGGTTGCGTAGCCAGCTGAAGTCCCGCAGCTTGCGTACGAAAACGAAATTCACGCTGTACAAGACGTTGATTCTGCCGGTAGCCCTTTATGGCCACGAATCGTGGGCATTGAAAGAGGCCGATCGGAGAGCTTTCGGTGTCTTCGAGCGTAAAGTGCTGCGAACAATACTCTGCGGTAAACTGGAAAATGGCATCTGGCGGCGTCGCGTGAATCACGAGTTGTACCAAGTATATAACGGCATGGATATTGTGAAGCTTATAAACCACGGCAGGCTACAGTGGGCTGGGCATGTGGCATGAATGCTGGAAGAGCGTCAAGCGAAGTCAATATATAGAAGAGAACCCGGAAGAGGCCGTCGGCTTCGGGGTAGGATACGCACGCGTTGGCTTTGTGCAGTTGAGGAGGACATTAGGTCCTTGAACGTCCAAGGCGACTGGAAGCGATTGGCTCAGGACCGAGACCAATGGAGACGGTTACTTCGTTCGGCGCAGATTTGAATTCAACGAGTCGTCGCCCATCAGGTACTCATATAGGTTCGTCTACGGAGCTTACGCAGAAGTGATACGCAATTCGGTAGAGCTTGTCAAACGCTTTTGAGCTTATGTAGTATAGAATTTGTTCGGTGCGGTCGCGAAATCTTGAAATGATTTATACGTTCTTTCAATTACATTTTGATACAAAGCTCAGTAGTAAATAAGTAGAATATCTTGGGAGAAAACCAAAATGAATCAACTTGCCAACATAGGCTATCACATTTATTTTGGCGGCACTCTTTAAATAATTATAAGCCTTTTTTTCTCGCTTCGCTTGTCTCGCACGGCTTTCGGAATTCGCGCGGTTCGTTCATAATTTAGATATTTCGTTCAAAACGGATTTACTTATTCAATCGGTTTACTACGCGCACACGTCACAGCATTTTTTCCATAACTATCTTAAAACAATACACACGGAATCCAGTGTTCACGCGGCCAACATAGGCTAGTCCTTTTGCTGTATTGTCAAAGATAGAAGCAAAATTTATTCAAATGGGTCAAGTCGTGAAAACTAAGCTGTCACTCAGCTCCAGCTTGAAAAAAAAAAAAAACAGCAACAATCGTATCTTTACACTTCAAGTTATTTTTCCACTTTGCTAATACCAAATTCAACGCGGTTTCACAAGAATGACCTTCCCGATATCCTGATTGTTCTGGTATCAACAAAGAGTTGCTATTCAAATATAAAAGCAGACAACCTATGAATAATCTGATAAATTTTGAAATCATGAGCCACCATTTGCAGCACACAGTACCGATATCTATTTAATTGAAATAAGGGGTGATTCAAATATGACGTCCACTCTCGATGAGGAGGTCTAAGAATTTGTGACAATACGTGCAATAGGTAACGAAAAAAGCGCAACACAGGGGGGCAGTGGATTATCAAATCAAACAATTTGTGGATGTCATATTTGAATTGCCCATAACCAAAACAATTCCAATTTACCTATACAAAAAGCCTTCCAATGGAACCTGTCGACACGCATTCAATAAACGACCAAAATCACAGATAGAAACCCAGCCAACTTCCCCCACCCATCTTTTCATAATGGGCGATGGTCACCTGCTAAGTGCACTTCATTTAGTTCACAAAGCACCTTTAACTCCCTTTCACCTTTATTATTATCGCCAGCGTTGGGACCTTCTGCAGCTCGACGATAATGGCTCTCGCCAGTTCATGGAAAACCCCCAAAGTCCATTAATTTTAGTTTTAATTCACCGATCAGCTCCACGTGGCCCACTTGTTGTGATGCCGTGTTTGTAACGTAACGTAGCCAAACAGTTCCCCCGAAAATGGCACTCGTTTCAAGCTAAATATTTGCACGCACGGTAGGTACCTATACAACTACATGTCAGCGAGGAATCTACTCACCTTCACTCGGCACGTCGCAGGTGGAGTTGGCGACCGTGCAGTTGATCGGGAATCCCGCGCTGGTGCCGCCGAGCCCGAGAGTATCGTTCGGTGGTCCAGTTCCATTATAGTTGTAAAAATATTCACCGAAATCCTCCAGGAGCAGCATGAAATTGCTTCCCCCGGGTTCGCCTCGTCCGACGCGCGTGTCGTTCCGGCTGCCCTCTGAATCACCCGGGTAGTACACCTGGTAGGCACCGTTGGCAGCCGCAGCAGCCACCGTCGCACTATTGTTACCACTACCGACACTACCACCAGCAGCACTACCGCCACCGGTGCCATTGGACCCACCGTGATTCCCAGGCAAACCAAACGCGGCGGAGCGCCCCGGACGGGTGCTTTCGTTGGAGGGGGAGCCTTCGCTAAACAACCGAAAATAGTCCGGCGAGTCCCATCCGGGGACGAGCGAATCGTTCACCGCCACCATCGCAGGACCGATGAGCAGAGCGCGCGTGGCACCCAAACTCTACTACCACTGGGATCCTTCTTCCGTGTTCTTTTTCTGACGCTTGTTTGTTTACTTGTTTGTTTGGTTTGGACAAATGAATCACTACTGGCGTGGTTGATGTTTGCGGCAGGGGTGACCCATCAGTAGCAACAGCACCTGGCCGCCTCGTTGGTGGAAGGGCTTCCAATATTTTTTTTTGCTTTCCCTCAATGGTCGCCGGACATCGTCGTCGGTCATGAAAATTTGGTCAGGGAATGATGTGTTATTTTTTTTTTTGTTCTATAGTGGGCACTTTTAACCTTACTGTTGTTGTGCGTTTTGGTGCGAATAAATTCAATTTTCGTCTCTTCTTTTCCAATTGTGTTGCATATGCATTCAGGATGGTTGCAGCGGCGAATGCATTTTTTTCTGGTTCAGCAACTGTAAAGAAATGGAATATTGGTTGATAAATTTGTTTTAAATTTAATCAGCAACTGGTTGCCGACGATACTGAATAATAATTAACACTTCGGGGATGATTTTTTTTTCGGACATCATTAAACGTATATTAAGAGACGTTTTAAAAATGTCATGAACAGACATTAAATAATAACTTAGCTTTTTATTTATTAAATCAGATCATGTGAAGGTGGTGTGAATTTATTTTGATAGTTGTTTAAATGTTTCTATACAGTCAGGAATCCTTATTGCCGGGGTAACGGGGGCGTGAATAAGGAACCGCGAATAAGGATACCCACAGCTTATGGGATTTTCTCTAATGGGGGCTGTGGTGGATTATCTCATTTGTTACAATATATAGAGCAATACTGTCTTCGACAAAATTGTTGCACTGAGATAGACCAACAAGCTGACGTCATTGGATTTAGGTTTAATTTGGAACTACACCGCTAGAGGCGCTTCACTTTTATGTTACTTATGACGGGCATGGATCTTAGGTCCAACATAGAATAGTTCGTGATCCTGGCCATATAGAAAAATACTATCTTGAGCAAAGTTGTTCAAGTGACCAAGTCCTTTCGGATGGTTCCATATTAGTTCAGAAATCTCTCACTACGCAGCGCTAGTGTGCACATGAGCTTCCTATATAAGCTGTACTTCAAAATCCTGGCCATATAGAAGGTTACTGTCTTCAGCAAAGTTGTTGAGCCGACCAAGTCATTTCGGATTGTGGGCATAATAGTTCAGAACTCTCTCACTACGCAGCGCTAGTGTGCATGTGAACTTCGAACATAAACTTTATCTCAAGAACCTGGCCATATAGAATGTTGCTGTCTTGAGCAAAGATGTTCTGGTGACCAAGTCCTTTCGGATCGTGGTCATATTATTTAAGAACTCTCTCACTACGCGGTGCTAGTATGCACATGAACTTCCTTAATATGTTATTTCTGGAAAGCTTGTCCAAAGCGGTAATAAGCAGAGGCACCTTTTTTATTTTTTTACTTTAAATAATCTATATTTCATGAATTTGTGTGGTTTACATGTATTACTTATCAAGTGACACAGACGCGTCTTTTCAACTTTAGTTCCTTTGAAATTTCAATTATTATTAATTACAGTTCCTAGTCCTATCAGTCCTGTTTTAAGAATGACCACCTTGGCGGGATTGGTTTGCTTTAAATTTGAAAAAGGAGACTACTTAAAACCAGGGTTGCTTCCACTCACTTGCTATAAAAAAATGATTTTCTGAATCACTCTGAGTGAACGCTCACGAATCATAAAATCGCTTATTGTAACACTCTGGTAGCAAAATTGACAGGTTTTATGAGTCAAACACTTGCCTTTCATCCTCTTCTTGTATCTAACAAGCACAAAATATCATTATAACATCTAATGATTTCAAAATTCAGAAAATCATGTTTTTATAGCAAGTGAGTGGAAGCAAGCCTGCTTATAACTACTATTTACAACTATAACTAACCTACAACTACTATATACACCTAATCTACTATATACTACTAAATTGCTTATCAAAGCATGTTCAGATAAAATACATTTTTGTGCAAATTTAGTCTTAATTTCGTTAATTCTGGAATCTATTTTGGCAATGCCTGCCTCTTCGTGTAAATTTGTTATTCTAGTGTCGAAAGGACGATCAAGTACCATCCTCAGCACTCTATTCTGAGTAACCTGGATTTTGTTCCTGTGAGTCATGATTCCCACACCGGAGCTGCGTAGAGGATCGCAGGTGCTATGATTTGTTTGTAGACGGCCAGTTTGTTCACCCTTGAGAGGCGGGATCTACGGCAAATCAGCGGATACAGACACCTAACCAAGGCAGAACACTTGACTACAGTTTTCTCTACATGCGAACGGAAGAGGAGCTTTTCATCGAACAACATCCCGAGATAGATTACTTCGGCGGACCACTCAACCCTTGTGCCATCCATGATTACAGTACAAGATGGAGCCGGTTTCAGTTTGGGCGATTGCCGATGGAGGAACATGATCGCTTGTGTTTTGGTGGCATTGATTTTGATTTTCCACGTGGTGGCATAATCAGCAAAGGCGTTAAGGCATCGTTGAAGTTTGTTCGTTATTTCGCGAGGCATCCTTCCTTTGACTGCTATTGCGATATCATCTGCGAACAGGAAAAACACGCAACCTTCTCCAAGGGGAGGAATGTCGGAAGTATAAATGCTGTAAAGCAAGGGGCCCAGCAGACTGCCTTGCGGGACTCCTGCTGGGATGGAAAACGTGTCTGAAAGACAACCATTCAACGATGGAGGTAGTTACGGGTGATTTTAACCAGATGTAATGGGAAGTTGAAGTTACAAAGCTTGTACACAAGTCCATCATGCCAAACACTGTCAAACGCCTTTTCAACGTCTAACAAGGCCATGGCTGTGGACTTGGATACAGCTTTGTTACTTCGGATGTTATTCATCACCCGTACTAGCTGATGATTGGTGGAGTGCCCCTTTCTGAATCCAAACTGTTCCGGAAGGAGAGTGTTATTTTCCTCGACAAACTTGAGCAAACGATTGAGAATGAGTTTCTCGAACAATTTGCTCAGCGCTGAAAGGAGGCTGATGGGTCTGTAGCTTGAAGCTAGCGTTGGGTCCTTCCCGGGTTTGCGGATTGGTATGATTTTTGCTACTTTCCAGATGCTTGTAAAGTAGTGCAGTTCCAACCATCTGTTGAAGATAGCGGTTAGAAGAGAATGCACTTTCATGCTGAGTCTCTTCAAGATCAAGTTGAATATACCGTCAAACCCGGGAGCCTTCATGTTTTTGGTGCATTTCAGCGCTGAGCAAATCTGTTGTTCTGTAATCATATCTGCCGGAGGCACAACACAAGGGGAGGTATCTAGGTTTTGAACGCATTGCGCAACCTGATCATCGAGCGGACTTTGGATAGTTGAGCCAAGTAAATGCGATGAAGCGACATGCTTGCCGATCGCATTTGCTTTCTCCTGTGGGTGATTAAAAACCTATCGTCATCATTTCCGACTCTGAGAGGTGGAACGGGTTTGGGATGAGTTTTCAGGATCTTGGCTACCTTCCAGAATGGTCTGGAGCGGTGATCCAGATTCTGGACAACACGTCCGATACTTTCATTTCGGAGTGAGTCCATTCTGGAAGCAATCTGCCTATTCATATCAACCATTTCACGTTTTTTGCCCAGATCTCCAGTCCTCTGAAACTGGCGTCTACGCACATTTCTCAATCGAATCAATAATTGGGTGTGGGAATCAATAGCAACAAACTTACCCCTCACAGGAACTTGTCGAACGCATGTCTCGTCAGCCTCGGATATGGCCTGTTGGAGTCCTTCCAACGCCCGGTCGATGTCATCTACGGTGTCGAGTAGTGGATTTTCATCGATGTTGCTGTCTACCATTCGACCGTACTGCACCCAGTTGACATGGTGGTAGTCTTTACGCAGGCAGCCTCTAGCAGGAACCACGTTGACACCGACTTCAGTCACCACCGGTTGGTGGTCGGAGCTGAGATCGTTGTGCGCCTCCGGCTTGGATAGTCCGATGTTTGACAGGAAAAAATCTAGCGTGGAGGGATTTCCCGCCGGAGAGATGAAAGTTGGTTCGTCCGGAAATTGCACTGTGTACAGTCCATGTTGTGCGTGGTCGAACAATAGACATCCGTTTCGGTTCCTCTGGTAGTTCCGCCAAGCTTCATGGCGGGCGTTCAGGTCGCCCCCAACGATGAATCGGGAGCTAGTACGGGTGATGGCGGTCAGGTCCTTCTTGAATTGGATTCCTAATCCGTTGCTTGCGGTACACTGGCGTGGGCAGTAAACAGCGATGAACCGGACGTTTCCAGTTGGTGATTCCACCTCCACACTAATGGCCTCGATAATAGAAGTGCGGATGTGGGGCAGAGTGCAAAACTTGATTTCCTTTCTGACGATGACCGCTACACCACCCCCCCTGGAGCTGGTGCGATCAAGCCGGATAATGTTGTGGTCAGGCAACCAGAAGCTGTCACCGAACTTTAGGTGGGTTTCGGTTAGAAGACCCACGTCGATGCTATGCTTGCGAAGGAAGTCGGCAAGCTCAATCTGTTTAGCTCTTACAGAGCAAGCGTTCCAGGTAGCGATGGTTAGCGGTTTAGACACCATATTGGATGATGAACTTACCGAGCACTTGGATCTGTTCGGGCTTATTGCGGCACTTACGTAGAGCACCGGTCATGTTGATAAAAATCTCCATCAGTTCGTCTGCTGAGAACAGATCGGGATTGTTTGTTTGAGCTGTTGGTTGCCTCCAGAATCCAGGGGGGGATGGAGAGCTTTGTCCAGCAGAAGATCCAGACGTTTCTTGAGGGGGCGTGGATCGCACCCTGGGATTCGCTTGTCCACGAAGAGGTGGAAAGTCCTCTGTCCTGAAAGCCGGGGCCTTGTCCTGAAAGCCGGGGCCTTATCCTTCCTTCGTGCTGGTTGATTGTTGGTGGACGCTTGATTTCGGATGCGCTTGAAATCCTCGCGTTTAGGGCACTGCTTGTTGGATCCTTGGTGAGCACCACCACAGTTGGCGCATTTGGACGCCACAGCTTCATCCGCAGCACATTCGGAGGTGGCATGGTCTTGAGCGCAATTTCCGCAGCGTGGCTTAATGTTGCAGTTGCGGGTACCGTGTCCGAAGTTCAGACACCGCTGGCACTGAGTCACATCGCGATGGCTGCCACGGTATGGCTCCCAGCGAACGATGATGGAATTGATGGACCGGATGGCTTTCAGTGCGTTGAGCGTCACCGTTCCCTTCTGGAAGTGTACCAGGAAAAGGCTATCCGGATACGCCTTCACATTCTCGTCTCTTCTTGTCATTCATGAGCAGAGGCAGGAAAGCAGCGCTGTTTTATATCTTTTCACGTTCAAGCAGAATGATGTGCAACCAAGTAGTATTTGTTTATGATGACTGGATTTGGGGAAAACGTTTAGTTCAT